TTTACTTTTATTCAAGTTTAAGGAACCTACAGGGTGTCCCACGAAACATGACAATAGCAAGACGACTTGAAAGTCGTCTTTGGTATTTGAATTTATTTGTGACATTTAGTCTTCTATCTACTTGGTCTGCGTTTTTTGTGCTTTCAATATTACCGGGGATATAAAGAGTTTGGTTCAGATTTCAATTTTGTTAAATAAAAGCAAAATTGTCGAAATCTGAACGAAATTCTTCATATCTCGGGCAATATTGAAAGCACAAAAAAGGCAGACCACATTTTGGAAATGGCAGGACAAGGGAAATTTTGTGATTATTATCTCTAGAAATTTACTTCTAAATTTAGGTTGAAAAATAAACGCAGTAAATTATATCAAAAATCAAGACGACATTCAAGTCGTCCTGCATACTGTCATGTTTCGTGGGACACCCTGTAGGTCAAAACTGGCATATTTCTGTGATTAATCATTTAGTAATCCATCAAAATTGAATGCACGAAAATGGACCAAACATGACATTTCTGCAGAAAAACTATTGTAATTCTCTCAAATTCTTTATTAATATTAGTGCATATCGGAACTGAAATAAAAAACCTATTTTGCTTTTAAAAACCTTAGAAGTGGAAAAACTTATCAATCAATTGAGAAATAACTTCAGATCAAAGACGACAATTGGTTTACTCCTTTTTCCATTTAATACTGTTCTCAAACATCCATAAATCTTCATCTAAACAAGGTCATTTTTCCTTCTTGAGAAGTGTTCAATTCTGACAATATACTTCATTGTCAGATACTAGGTTACCAAGGAAAAGTATCACTTTTCAGATGGAATAAAATAATATTTCATCCTTATACATTAGAAGAAGGTCTAAAGGGTACCGTTGTAAATTAGACATACCACTCTATGGAACCCTTTAAAGTTTCCTAAATATTTTGATAATGTTTCATTTAAATTTTAAACCAACGTTCATTTAAGAATGATAGGTTAGTCGTTATCTCTGCACGGTGAGAACCAGAAAACTCTGGAATAGGAAGACGATGTTTAGACTTAAATCATGACTTTAAATGGTCCAATGAACATGAAACACAACAATTGTGCAGTTTAGACAAGTTCAATATTGCTTTAATGTCGTCTTACTATTTCACAGTTTTCTGGTTCTCCTGCATTCGTTCAATTCTAAGATGTTTTCCATAAAAAATCAATTTGAAAAACGCTTCCAGTACTATGAAAGCTCGAGGGGTTTATTACACACCTTTTTCCATTTTCAATCAAACGCACCTAAAGAGAAAGCAACTTTTTCAAAAAAATGTTTTCCTAACATCTAACTGAAAATTAATTTTACTTTTGCTTTTTGTGGACGCTCTGTAACATGAATATTTTAGATTGGTGAAGATAATTGAGTTTAAAGTTTGGAAATAAGTCCCAGGATATAAACTTTACAGGGATATACTAGATACATAACATTATACGTAATATAGTTACATTATACTTGTACATTATTCATTATACATTATACATTATACATTGTACATTATACATTATACATTGTACATTGTACATTATACATTATACATTATCTATAATAAAGTATACATTATACATTATATTATACATTATACAGTTTACAGTATACATTATACATGTTAACTATAACTTACATTCGTCCTACTTGTGAGTAAAATAAAAAAAACTATAGAAACTACGAGGTCACAAAGTCGTACCAGTGATATTACATCTCCTTCTGTCTAGTTTACAGTGTCTCCATATACATTATTCATTCTCATATAATTACTTATCATTAGTTAGAAACCATACTAGACAATCCTTATCTTTATTCCCAATATAACCTTCCTTTCACATTCCAGGGAACCAAAGTTACTAACAGTGGTGTTAAACCAAATCTGACACTTAGAGTCAGTGTTCGGTGTTTAAATTACACCACGATTTTGTCTATATAGTGATAAACTCTGAAAAAGGAAGACGACTTCTAGAATCAAGTAATAACTATGAGACACATCGATTGTTCAGTGTAAACAGACCCATTTCACTAAATCAGTGATTTGATAAGTGTCTTGTACATCTATTTGCTTTGTGAAATCATCTAATACACTTAAGTATTGCTATTATGTCGTCTTCCTATGTAATAAATGCAGTTTGAACATACCTATAGAAACTACCTAGTACATTGTCTAACGATCTAACTGCGATAATCCTTAAATACGTAAAACTTGTAATGCAACTAAGACTAGTTACTTATTGTGATTATATTAATATACACCTGAGTCTAAAACTAAAGAATGCGCGAAATTTAAGTAAAAGCTAGAGTACTGTAAAATAATGAGTTGCTACTTAAATATTAAACTTTCTCAATATAACCCTAAAGAGAAATTTGAATTTCCCGGGAAAATCTGAACTAATCAGAGAAAATTATTTCTGGAGAGATATTATGTAACCATTACTCAAATGCTCATCAGCTGTTTTTAAATTTTAAATTTACATATCCGAAAAGAAAATATATTTCCAGTTACAACCGTTCTTTGGGTTTACATGCAAACATTAATTAATCTAAAACATAAAATTTATTCTATCAAGGTTTTCACTTTTAAATATAACTTAAAGTTGAATGCTGCTTTCTCAGCTGAATGATGATTGATTGATGGACTAATTTGGAAAATGCGGGATTTCAAGATTTTAACCCAGGGTTAAAATTCAGATTTAAATAAAGTCAGAAGTGGCATTTAAGCTGAAACTTAAAATTTAAGTCAAAACTTTTTGTTCTTTAGTTTTAGACTCTGCATAATATTGTGAAAACATATTGGAACTTAGCATGTAATATATATATAACTGAAATAAGATCAGTTAGAATTAGAACTCTGCTTTTATTACAGTGTAGAGCAATTGGGTTTTTGTTGAAGCATACGAATTAAGATCTTGAGTATTGGCATTGATCGATACATCACTATTGTCTAGTTGACATAGCAAACAAGATCGCGCCCAGTATTAGTGGCTTTGATAGTTCACGGGATTGTAGCCGTGTGGATCATGTCCAGTTTTAGACATTGATCAATAGATTGCTATTGTCTGATTGACAGCAAACAAGATCGCGCCCAGTGTTAGTTGCGTTAATAGTTCATGGAATTGTAACCCTATGGATAGTGTCCTGTTTGAGACATTGATCAATAGATTGCTATTTTCCGGTTGTAATAGCATACAAGATCGCGCCCAGTGTAGTGGTGTTGATAGTTCACGGGATTGTAGCAGTGTGGATAGTGTCCTGTTTGAGACATTGATCAATAGATCGCTATTGTCTGGTTGACATAGCATACAACTACAAGATCGCGCCCAGTGTAGTGGTGTTGATAGTTCACGGGATTGTAGCAGTGTGGATAGAGTCCTGTTTGAGATTCATAGCAGACGGATTGTACCTGGACTGATACACATGGGGACGACCTATCACGAATACGGCATTTAATACACCTATTCCATTGTTTTCTGATTATCACTATAGTTAAACAATCTTTTAGCTTACAAATTTGTCTTATAATCTTTTAATCAAAACGCATCAAAATGTATTGAAAGAAAATAACAAAATCCATGTGCATGTGAGGTTTCAGCACAAACGCTTTGAACCCCGATATAGAAACTGTTCCTGTGCCTATTATTAATATATTATAAATCATGTTGGGAACTTATAATTCACTTTTTTACTAAATTAAAACTGTAATAAATTATTAAGTTCTAATGGAAAACCTAACCTTCAAGTGTGGACCAATCATAGTGTTAAACTTTCATCCCCTGGATTCTCTCTTTATTTTTGGTGCCCTTTATTCTATATCTAGTGTTAGGATACAGGATACGGGATACAGGATACAGGATACAGGATACAGGATGCAGACAGGATACAGGATACAGGATACAGGATACAGGATACAGGATACAGGATACAGGATACGGGATAAGGGATACGGGATAGAGGATACGATCATACGGGATACAGGATACAGGATACAGGATACAGGATACAGGATACAGGATACAGGATACAGGATACTGGATACAGTGGATACAGGATACAGGATACAGGATACAGGATACAGGATACAGGATACAGGATACAGGATACAGGATACAGGATACAGGATACAGGCTTCAGGATACAGGATACAGGATACAGGATACGGAACGATAGGTACCGAATAAAGAGCACAGGATACAGGATACAGGAATAGGATGCTGAAGTTAAAGATTAGATATTGTACTTTTTTACAAACCTAAAACTCTGATATGATGTTCAACTCTAAAACTTATAGATTAAAAATGCCTGAAAATTTCCCTTGAATTCTGAATAAATACGTGTCAATATGGAGTCTATGGAGTCAGGAAAATGAATAATGCAGGTTTTATTTTCAGAAATATTGAGCAATTTAATAAAGTTATAATTTTAAACACAAAATAATGTATTGCGCTTTTATATAAGAACATTTTTGAGGAGAGGGGGAGGGGGGACAGCTTCCTTTAGATATATTTAGGGGAAACGGTGATATCTTTTTTCTCAGAAGGCTCCTCCTCAAAAGGGGAGATAAAATTTAAATCTTATTTGTTTTCCCAATGGTCAAAATGGCGTTATATTTGTTTTAGTTTTAAACGTTTGTAAGATTTAATTCTTTACAAATACTACTTTGGAACCGGACTTAATGTATTTGAGCCAGGTTCAAAAACAACTAGTTCAACCATGTGTCTTGAATCGGGGATTCAGGATTTGTCCTAGTCCTATGATTGATAACTAAAAACATTGCAGGACTACAGACAAGTTTTTGAATCGACAGAATGAAGTTCAGCGGCCTAACTCAAATTCAAAAAATTCGGTCACTGGTAAAACTGTCAATTCCAATCAGGGTTACTTAAAAAAAATCTCGAAAATTATTCTTTCAAATTTTTTCTTCAGAAATTAGTGAAGAGGAGAAAAGTGTGACAAAGAAGCCAAATGAAAACGAAGAAAAAGATATGAAAGAAAAAGAAGAAAAAGAGGAAGAGGAAGAGGAAGGAGAAGAAAATGAGGAAAAGGAAGAGAAGATAGAAGAAAATGTGGATTTAGTTGAACAGAGTTCTGTTCAAAGCTCCCTTTTGTCTAGTAGAGTTTCACCAGATCGAAGGTAACATTCCCCCCCCGTCCTCCTTTTTTGTTCAATCTTTATATAAATTCAGCTCCATCTACAGGGTTACCCACAAAAAATATGACTTTATAAATGACGACATTCAACTCTCTAAATATGAGAATTCGAAAGTCTAATTTGGGTTTATTCTTAGAAAATAGTCTTTGTATGGTTTATTTTATGATTTGGTAAAGAAAATTAGACGTATAAAGCTGAGAAGTCATGAGAAAAATAAGAATGATAAAATTCCGTACAGTCGTCTCTGATGTCTCATCCTTTTTAGGCAACCCCATACACTCCATACTTATTAAATTACATTATATGAGTGTATATATATATATTATATATATACATATATATATCTTGGGATTCCGATAATCCGTTAATCCTAACTTATTAGCTCTATCTATAGGTCCATACTATCTATCTATCTATCTATCCAAGTATTTATCTATCAATCTATCCATTATATCTACCTTTCAATTTATGGATCCATCTTTCTCAACGAATTTTTTTGAGAAACAGTGTTTGTGCCAAGGTTAAAATACCAGGAAAGTTATTTCAGAGGTGTACGCATCTATTGTACTGCAGTGTACTGTGTCTGGGCGGTAATGTAAACACAAGACGAAGCCTGACATGGGATCCATCTTTCACATAAAAAATTAATGAAATATTCTGGTCATAGGAAACTATTATGTGAATTATCAAAATTATCAAAATTTAATGACTTTAACCTCTTCTGAACTAAACGAACACTGATGAATGTATTCTTGTTTACAAATTCCGCCCAGAGAGAACTGGTTTCAATATGTACGCAGAGTATACGCTACTGCAATTGACCTTCCATGCATCACAACCTTTGTTTATTATGCAACGCACTAGCTGTACATAAATTGATGAAACCATATATTTTGCATTTTAATTGTATGCATGATACTGCACTGTATTTCCACCAGCCAACCCCAAACTTCCTCATAAGTACTTCTGATTTAAGAAGGAAGTTATACTTCCTACAGGGATGTTTTATGTTGTGCGTATTTTTACATACAGCCTCAGTACACGATGTACTGCATGATACATAAGCCAAGGGAATAAATATATAGACCAGGAACCGTCATATCTGATGCGTCAAATCTGCTTCCTTTTGTTCAAGGCTTTCGAAAGAGCTACAAAAAGTCAAAATCCAATGACCATGACCGGAAGTAGGTCTGAATATAGATTTAGTCGGGTAGAGGTAAAATAAGGCATTCAGGCAGTATGCCCGAGAACTCAGGCAGTAGGTATAAAAGCCCCGCTTTGAGCCTAAAGTGAGAGGCATGTGTTTGTTAGAAAACAACAGCCTCAGACCAATACTTTTTGACCAGCCAGAATAGGGTTAGAACTTCTCATATTTTGCAGAGCCTCCTGAAACCCCCTTGATGTAAAAAAAAACGAGAGAGAAAACTCAATAAAGCTTGTAATATGGAATATGATATATAAAAATGCAAATGGATATTTGAGAAGAAAAGTAGGAAATTGCATTTCTATGTTTCTATACTTCAAAGAAAACTAGTTTCAAGGAATAATTAGAATTTGAAATTGTAAATTGATGTTTTCCAGGAGTTTTGAAGAATTATATGCAAATAGTAGCTTTGAAACTCAGCTTTGCTTTACAGCTGCAGTGGTAGGCGATTACATCCATACAATGAAGACGCCTTTTTTAAGTTTTGATTGTTTTTTTGAGAATCACAAGTTTACAAGTATATAAAGAGAAGCTCTTTTAATTGACAGCTTCTCTTGACTTCTATGTTTATGTGTATCTATGTTGTTCAACAGCTTGATATAAATCAAAATCGAAAGTCGTTTTTATTGTATTGATATAATCACCTACCACTGTAAAAAAATGTTAAACCATTTCCATGGCTCTATCGAGTCGCCAATTAATATTTGAGGCAAATCGGTTCAGGGGTTCCTTAGATATGATCGAACGTGCAAACAGACAACAACAGGCTACTAACACTAATTATATAGTGTCTGCTGGTTTGTTTCTTCATAATTTAGGAAACCCTTAGACCGATTTGCCTCACATTTTGATCAGGGAATCTCGTAAATGTTCTTGGTTTCACGTGATTTAAGGTCACTCAAACTGTTGGACCTAATCTGTTCTGCCGATTTGACATTTCTTGAATTATTGTCGTATGTGTTATGTTACAATTATAGAGAATAGAATATATATTAGAGGGGAATTTACTCAAAAAGTGTAAAACGGCCATTTTGTTGTACTGTTTCCATACTGCAGGTGTACTTCACATATTTATGCTAAATAACCTTTTGGGCCCTGGAATATCATTTTAAAGAAAATCTAAACTTAATATCAAAAGAAAACCAAATTATGAAATAGGTTGGTTTCATAATTGACCAATGATGATTTCACATAGACTCTATGCCTTTCACTTTACAAACGATGATTTTCCGTTATAATTATAAATCAAATGATGTTTTTTATTCACCTAATTCATTATAAAGTTTATTTAACAGCTTTAAAAAATTCTAAATTGAAATGAATAGTCAAGGGAACATACTGTATTAATGTACTCTACTGCATATAATTTGTGAACATTTACATGATTTGTACACTTTGAACTCCCTTTCTGGCTGAAAGGGACTGAAAAAATTCATACCGAGAGATTCTTTAAATTCCCCTCTAATATATATTCTATTCTCTATGGTTACAATGCAAGCTATAGTATGTTTAAGTATTTCTGCAACAAATTTTGACTTCAGAAATCCACTAAAAAGAATTTAAAAATCCGCAAATTCATTTTTTCTATCCATTGCAATAGAACATTTTGATTTATGAAAAAAAATGTTATTTCACAATGCCAACTCCATCTGGAGACAAGAGTTCCAAAGTTTTAAATTCACCTTTGCCCAAGATCAGTGCACATTCACCATATTTCAATTATGTGTCAAAGTGGATGGTGGCAACTTAAAACATTTGTTATATTGAGTTAATGTTTAGCATTCATTTGTGAAAGTTTTTTTTTATAAATTGTATATGTAAAATCGTTCATATAAATATATTGATTTTTGATCCATTTCTGAGATCATACTTTGCTGCAGTAATAATTGATCATACTGTAGCTGTAGCTGTGGTGTCTAAAACTAGAAATATTCTAAATAACGTTTCAGGTGTTCTGCGAGGTTTCTCAGTAAAAGTGTTGCCCTGACATTAAGGTGACACATTTTGTAAAAATTAACTTTTAAGAAAGCTGTTTTTGATTGAAATATATGCTCCAAAGATTCTAAGATTAGTGTATATCACATAATCTAGAGCGCGAACACAGCATATTTGATAGACACAAAAAAAAATAGTTTTCTTATCTTAACAATGTATTTTCTTTGGAAAAAAATATTTGTCTGAAATTCTGGTTTGCTAATCTATATATTTGCAACCTGATGTCGTTGAGTTTCGACATTTCAAAATATTAATTATACTAGATCAAACAGTCAAAGTTTGAAAATCAAAGATTTACACAATCAAGTTGAAAAACTAACGAGATTAGAATATAAGAGTTTGAGTCGAGTGTTCAGTTTCAATTTTAAATTTAATTTCTTAAATTTGTTTAGACAACTACAGAGGGATGAATACAATGCAACAGTTGCTCAACTCGTTAGGAATCAATTAATCATTCAAATAATTTAATTAATTAGTAAGTCATTTAGAAAATCAGTCTTTTATCCTTTAATGAATAGAAGGGAGGATGAATAAATGAATAAAAGAATAGAAGTAAGGATGAATAAATGAATAAAAGAATAGAAGTAAGAATGAATAAATGAATAAAAGAATAGAAGTAAGGATGAATAAATGAATAAAAAATAGAAGTAAGAATGAATAAATGAGTAAAAGAATAGAAGTAAGAATTAATAAATGAATAAACGAATAGAAGTAAGGATGAATAAATGAATAAAAGAATAGAAGTAAGGATGAATAAATGAATAAAAGAATAGAAGTAAGGATGAATAAATGAATAAAAGAATAGAAGTAAGGATGAATAAATAAATAAAAGAATAGAAGTAAAGATGAATAAATGAATAAAAGAATAGAAGTAAGGATGAATAACTGAATAAAAGAATAGAAGTAAGGATGAATAAATAAATAAGAGAATAGAAGTAAGGATGAATAAATGAATAAAAAAATAGAAGTAAAGATGAATAAATGAATAAAAGAATAGAAGTAAAGATAAATAAATAAATAAAAGAATAGAAGTAAGGATGAATAAATGAATAAAAGAACAGAAGAAAGGATAAATAAAAGAAAAAAGAAGAGAAGTAAGGATGTATAAATGAATAAAAGAAGAGAAGTAAGGGTGAAAAAATGAATAAAAGAATAGAAGTATAGATGAATAAATAAATAAAAGAATAGAAGTAAGAATGAAGAAATGAATAAAGGAATAGAAGTAAGGATTAATAAATGAATAGAAGAATAGAAGTAAGGATGAATAAATAAATAAACGAATAGAAGTAAAGATGAATAAATGAATAAAAGAATAGAAGTAAGAATGAATAAATGAATAAAAGAATAGAAGTAAGGATGAATAAATAAATAAAAGAATAGAAGTAAAGATGAATAAATGAATAAAAGAATAGAAGTGAGGATGAATAAATGAATAAATGAATAGAAGTAAGGATGAATAAATGAATAAAAGAAGAGAATTAAGGATAAGAATGAATGAAATGTCAGACAGATTTATGGCTGGTTAGCTCAGACCAGATACTAAATCTTCCTTACTAATTAAACCCCAAATTTCTCACAAAACAACCGGAATTACAAAGAGGCTTTCAACGCAATTTAAAGTGGTCCGTAGACTTTAAAGGATTGCATGTCTGGATCACGACAGTAAAAAGACATGTTTTAATTGAAGCCAGAATTGTCATTTTAAAAATTCAGGAAATAGTTTTTCTTGATGCAAGTTAAAATATATCGGAGGACCCAAAACATAAAGTAATTCCGAACATTCTGTGAATTTTCAATTTTTTGATAATACGGACAATATTTTAGGGTTTTCTCTAGAACAGTTTGTAAACCATATAATGTTGTAAGTGTCCTCTGTTGCATAATTCCCCCAGTAGCTCGGAGAGTGGCCACAAGAAGTAAATCCGCCAGAAGCCAGGACACAGTGATCCAAAGGTTTCGAGCTCTTATGGAAAAATCGTCGAAAGTTTTGTCAATTACTTCTTTAAAATAAAAGTTAAAAACGATTGAACCAATGTTTTACATGTACATGTCCAGGGCTACATAAAATTAAATCAGTGATGTAAAATTCAAGAGCAAGGCGTTACGACACTTTAAAATTGATGCAACTTTACATAGCTGAGAGGATCTAAGTGAGGAGAGTTAGAAGAAGTTGAATGTAAATGCCGCGGTGAAATATTATATCTTTTCTTGGCATGGGCCGTAGGGAGACTTTCTGGGGAGGGCGTCGCGGACTTGAATTTTCCCGAATGCCGCGTGTCATTACTATAATTCCAAGAGAGAGACAGAGGGGGGTTGAATTTTGTAGATCCGCAGTAAATAATTTTAGTCGAATGGCTGCGTAGAGTCTGACAGCTTGTGGAGTAGGGAGAGGGGGAGGAGCTTTGATACGAGTGTGAGTTTTTAATCCTTTTTATGGCTAAAATAGGTACGATTTTCACTTTTTAAGTTTTAGTTAATATTTCTTCAACTTTTTTACAATAACAGTGGGTGGGGGGGGGGGACGGGGACCATATCAGCTTTGATACGAGTGTGAGTTTTTATCATTTTTAGGGCTAAAA